GCCACGTTGTAAGCTTCTGGCCACTGCGGCGCGCCATCTGTCCGAAAGCATGGATATGTGTCCGCGTGTCTTCCTGTACTTGACCCGGTGGGCGTTTGTGCATGCCACATTGTCCGATGTCGCCCCATACGGCCTGCCACTTTTGGCTACACGGAGACCTGGGACCAAAGGCTGGATCGATGTGAGTGCCACATTGTACACTTACTCACGATGTGGCGGGCGACCTTTGTTTAAGTAAAAAAAAAAAACTTTTCTTCAAGTATTCAAAAAAAATGCAAACGTGTACTATGTACATACCCCCTATTGGATTCACCTGTGTAGCACACCGAACATGTTCGGAGCTTTTCCGAACGTCCGAACATGTTTGGGTGTTCGGCCGAACGTCACCCGAACGTGTTCGGCTGACGTTCGGCCGAACATATTTAAAAAAAAATAAAAAAATAAAAAAATAAAAAAAATGGTTTTTTATTCTTAACTCGTGTTGGGTTACGAATTTGACCATACCTCCAAGGCAAAAGTTGTTTGTATTATTATTTTACATATACTATATATTTGTTTCAGATTTTTTGGAGTACTTTTTGTTTTTAATTATTATTAATATTTTTATATTCGCGTTCGGAGAGTTTCGACGCTCGTTCACGTTCGGTCCCGAACGTTCGGGTTCGGTCACCGAACCCGAACACGATGCTACACAGGGATTCAAATTTCTTTCATGATGAAAACAAAATTCTTGAATCATGTCATTCTGTAGATAAAACTTTGCTCAAGCAAGTATTCAATGAATTTAACGGAAAATTTTTAGGAGAGGGGCAGAGACGGAGGGTGTCTGCCCCCCCCTGCGTACAAGCGTAATCGTGGTGGGGGACGCGTGAAGCATGCCCCTGGTGTTTCGGACCTGGAAAACCAATTCTCACCCTATCTGGCCCTCCCCATGCATGTGCGTAATATTATGGCTTGGGAACAAAATACCCACTTCTTGCCCTACGTGGCCCTCGCCACGCGACTGCGTAGTCATGATCTTGGTGGGGCCGCACGCCCCCCAGCTTTGGGAACATAGAGGCCACTTCTTGCCCTCTGTGCCCCCCCCCCCTGCCTGCCTCGACGCGTGCGAGCAATGATGTTCATGGCGGGGGCAAACAGCCCACTTCCTGCCCTATCCGGCCCTCCCCGTGCGTGCGCGTGATCATGGCGGCCTGCTTCACTGGAGGCAGTACCTGATTGGCTCCATGGTGTTCTCGGGGACATGCACGAAAATGCTTATGGCCGTCGGGTTTTCGGCCTCGCTTCTTCTGCCGGATGCAGTTTTTTTCGGGGCCGACACATATTGGAATGACGATTTTGTTCAAGTCATCCTTGACTTTTCTTTCCCCCCTTCTCTTTCTGGAGTGCGTGTCCGGTCACGTTCCCCAACACATTACCCCTCAACGGACGCAGGATTCTGCCAGACTTCCCGTAAACTTTTCACTCCCACACCACGGCGTGATCTGAGTCGCTAGGCACAAAAGTTGCTTGGCCTTTTCTCTGTTTGTTTCGTCCCTTTTTTTTTTTTTTTTTTTTTTTTTTTTTTTGTATTTATTTTTTCCCCCCGGCCCTTCCCCTTATCCCTTTGTGTGTGGAAGGGACGGAGATGGGACRGACTTTTGAGGTGTCGAATTTTGTGGGGGCAGCAGATACCGCGCACTGCCACTCGGGCGTAGGAACGGCTCCGAGAAAAGGGGGTCTCTCAGGATCGAAGGTCCAGAGGCGTCTTATTGAGAGCAGAAAGGGATGAGGTCCTGAGGGGGACATCACCATTGGGTTCTGTTCAGTCAGGTTGCTGGAAAGGGACATGTGCAGGTCCCTCGGCGGATGGCTCAGTGAGCACCCTCCGGATGTGCCAAACAGTCGGTGGTTGGCGGTTCGGAGTCGTGTTTGCACTCTTATAGGGGCCTGCGTGCTTAGCAGCCCTCTTGCAGCCGACAAAGGCGACGTTCCGAGTGTGGGTTTTGGGACATTGTACTCGAGTTACGAAAGACTCTCTGCACACGTTTTGGGTGGTTTCCAGTTTGCGAGGGACGGGTGAGTCGTTCTTCGGTGGTTGAGCGAACATTTTTGCGGCGCCATTCGGGTCCATGGTCGTCTCTCTCGGAGGTCTTATTTCACGACAGCTCGGTCGTCGTTGGCGGCGGTCGCGGCTGTCGGGGCTTTCCTATGCCGTGGTGTCGGGTTGTGGATCGTTGCGTTCACCCTCGCTCATCGTCTTGCGATGATTRGCGCCTGATCGCCGACGGCGGTCCTGTTGGCGGTCGTTTGCAGGGTGTGGAGGCGGAGGTACCCGTCACCAGCTCTCAGCTTCGGCAGTATCATCCCGTAGGTTACGGGGAGAGTTGTTGCGCCTCTGTTTTGGTGTCGTCTTCGTGTCCACACTCACAACGGCGCGTTCCGTTTGTGTTGAGGGGGTGTCACGACTTGGAGAGGACGCTCTGCGCTCTTCGCCATCCGAGCGGCGCCATTGAGCGGTGGCGCAGGTGGCCTCAGCCCTACACCCGTTGCTTACCGTATGCGAGGGCGGAGACTTGTGGGATGCGTGATGCACCCTC